TCTCTCCTCCCACCATTCATCTGTGTATGGTTGTACGGGGCCTGAAGCATCGTCTATGTATGGCTTCAGACCCCACCATCTCACGATTGCTTGTGTGTTGAGCGATGTTGGGGTAAGTCCAGTCAATGTGAGTCAGTCCATTTCTCAGACTTTCGCTGTGTACATGCTCATCCTATATTGGCTGATCTTTGGTTCTGCACGTACTTGGTGAAGTATTCACTAGTATGCAACAGTTTGGTATCGGAGCAGACCAATTAAGTGGATCTGCTCACAAGGTAATTCTGATTAGGGAATAGATTGCTCAATTAGCATTGTCTTTTTCCAAATTAGTTCTGCATTACTATTGAAATTCAAGTTGCAAAATTCTTTTTTTTTTTTTTTTTTAATTCGGTATCAAAGTTGGGTTGCGATAAAAGTTTTCGGTTTTCCACATTGGGGGAAAATTCACGTTTTCTGGAACCGTAAACCGGAAATTCCGTGAAATCGCGGAAAATTAGTGTCGAGGTCCAAAATTTTGCGAATTGTTTTTCTCTTCCCTAATTGACAGTAATTGTTGAATTTCCGAATGCGGATGTCGGCCTTCTGAAAAGCGGACTCTGTTAGGTTGAAATTCCCGAAATTTCACGTTTTTCAAAAATTCGAGTGTTTTTCCTTTTCCTAATTGTCCGAATTTTTTTTTTTTCGTTTGGGAAACTCTTCGGAATCATTTACCTCAGAACTGCAACTTGCGGGAAGTTCACTAACAACGGTGAATTCCCGGACCATAGGTGATCCCAACGGACACCTAATCTACCGACAATTTAAAATTCGTTATTAATAATTATTAACTTTTATTGAATGATGATTAATTATTATTTGTTATTCTTTATTAATTATTTATTATCTTCAAAATTAAATTGTTCGGGGGGGAAAAGATCATTTACATTGGGACAGGGGACTGTATGTGGATTGTTTGTTCTGTTCTACCCCTGTTCCCACCCTCCATGCCCTCCCCGTGCCTGTGAACAGTTCTTAAGTACCACATCAGCCCAGGCTGATGTCGACGGAACAGGACACCTGGGCACTGCCAGGACGCAGTGCCAGGCTCGCAGTTCGTAGCCACACTGTGATACTTCCACAGCCTAAGTATCAGCAACAAGGACGCAGCAGGCGAACGGCTCCAGCGCCATCCAGTACCAATGCAGCAGCTGCAGTACCGGTGACCACAGGGGTCCTTCCCGCCTGTCCGGTCCAAGGGGACCACGGGACTGCTGAGGCTGACCCAACTGGTCGAGATAGGCGGAATGCTGCCAGCACTGAGTCTCTGATTCAGAATGAGAGTCAGTGGACAGCGCTACTCCAAGGCATGATCTTTGTGCCTACGGACGAGCAGGCGGATCCGACACCGGCGGAGGCAGAAAGGAGTAACCTGGCTAACTTGATGTTGGGTATGACGAGGGCGGTAATGTGGAACAATACGATGCAGATTGCGCACGCGCAAACTGGATGGCAGCTGAGACAGACTCAGCAGAGAGAATCTGCAACTTGGACAGCCGCCATCCGCACATCAACACAACATCAGCAACAACAGCAACAACTGTTGGCATCCACTATCACACGTGTCAACAGCATCGAGGCGAAGCCCTCAGCAGCGCCAGGCTGCACGACAGACATAGCGAAGCAGCTCGGCGAGCGCATCGACCATGTCGTCACCATCATTGGCGACCTGGGTGACTTTACCAGTCCGGCATCAATCAGCAGCACGCTGGCCACCATCAAGACGGACATCACCAAATTGCAGTCACGACCGGAAGTCGCCGCGAAGACATACAAGATGCCATGCTTCAACATCGGGAAGTTTGATGATTACAACAAAACAGACGCTTTGGCATGGTGGCATTCCTTCATCACTGAAGCAGCCTGCCACCACGTACCAGATCACCATTCCTTCATCACTGAAGCAGCCTGCCACCACGTACCAGATCACCTGATGATGACAACACTCTACCTCCAACTCATTGTAGGAGTACTGGCATTAATGAACCATTTGACGACCAATCTGGGAACCACCATTGTCGACTTGCACACGCACATCACGTGGGAGTAGCTCGAGTAAATGTGGCACACTCGTTTCATGGTCCGGAATGTAGTTAAGCCGGCCATGAACGAGGTCTACTCCAGCTCACAAGGGAACATGTCAACACGAGATTGGACGATCAAGTGGCAGAAGATAGTAACCACTCCAGGGTTCGACTTAAGTTTCCCAAACCTGCGATCCGAACTCTTTTTGCGATCGTGCGCAGGACTGCGGTCGGCACTCGGTAACGAGTACGACTATGCCTCATTCCAGGGCATCTTTAACCGTGCCCTCACGAAAGGCAGTCCCAGCCGCAATATGTGGTTAAGCAAGGCTACCAATGGCCGACACATAACAATGCGGTGATCGCTGACGGATCACCTGATCTCCACGCTACAGCAGCCTCCTCAGGTGATGGAGGAGTTGTCGCAGTGCTTCCGCGGAAGCGTCCGAAAAGGGTTCGGAAGAACTAGGCGATACAAGGGACGACAGCGACGGAGACTGGGCAGCAACCATGGACGGCATACAACATCATCAAGGAAGTTTTTGAACTTTGACAACGGTATGGGTATTGTTTTTGGTGCAACAGTGTATACCACACTACGACACAGTGCCCGGACAAGGGCAAGGCAAAGGTACCCCGTCCAGCTAACTCGCGAAACTGATTTGCGCACAGAGAGGGGCGACGCCTCTCCACACTCCGCCGGAACCGGTGGCCTTGCTAACAACCGATATCACTGTCGGGGAGCATGCGTTAGTTGCTGACTCTTGTGATACATACGAGGATTTTGCCTCTGTTGACGGACGACAGAGTAATGGTTGTCGATCTCCGCTCCTATCTTGCGAAGATTGATTGCGAGTACGCCACCCAAAGGTACGTTGAGACCGACGCTCCGTTGCTCTATATCCGCATTCAAATCGGAAAGGCCACCTGCAATGCCTTGATTGATTGCGGAGCATCTCGCAACTTTATGAGCCAAGCCTTTATGGCACGCGTAGGCTTCGGCCCTTGCGTTCGAAGGAAGACGCAACCTACGCAAGTCACACTTGCGGATGGCCGCACACAAAAATCAATTGACCGATGCGTCGAGGGTGTTCCAGTGTACTTTGCGCCCCTTGCGTGCGAGCCGGTGTCTTTCGACATCCTCGACACCAAGTTCGACATGATTCTAGGCATATCTTAGTTGCATAGCGCCGACCATCCGGTTATCTTTCATGATCGAACCGTTCACATCCGTGATGGGAACGGAGTGTTTGTCCTGTGTACGGTCGCGACTCCTCATACTTCGATTGCTTGTCACGTGGTTTCCGTCACGAGGATTCGCGACGCCATAGCCCGGAATGACGTAGAGGAAATGGGCGTTGTTTTCCTACATGCCCTCCCCTCGACGAACGGACCAGCCGCGTTGCTGTCGGACCCACACATTTCTCACCTCTTAGATGGATATGGAGACGTCTTCAAGGCTCCCACCGAAACGTTTCCGGATCGACCCATACGTCATGGGATTACTCTCAAGGTAGGGGCCGTCCCTCTACGTGGATGCATTTATCGTATGAGCGAAGAAGAACTCGAGGTGCTCCGCGCACAACTCAACGACCTTTTATACAAAGGCTGGAGTCGCCCTAGTTGCTCGCCATACGGTCCACCGGTTCTCTTCGTTCGGAAGAAGAACAAGGACCCACGGTTGTGCATCGACTGTAGAAAACTTAACGCACAAAGCGTAAAGAACGCTGACCCTCTCCCTCGGATTGATGATCTCCTTTAGCGGTTGGGCGGTGCGACGTACTTCTCGAAGTTGGGCTTGAAGTCGTGTTACCACCAGATTGAAATCCAGCCTCGAGACCGGTACAAGACCGCCTTCAAAATGCGGTATGGGCATTTTGAGTGGGTAGTGATGCCATTTGGACCCACCAATGCCCCGCCAACCTTTCAAGCAGCCATGGCGACGGAATTCCGAGACTTGCTCGATTGTACCGTCCTCATCTACCTTGATGATATCTTGGTCTATAGTAGGACGCTTGATGAGAACCTCGTACACCTTCCGTGCGGTTTTGGATCATTTGCGAGCAGCCAAGTACAAAGCAAACCGCGACAAGTGCGAATTTGCCAAACAAGAGCTTGAGTACTTAGGCCATTATGTGACGCCGAAAGGCATTCGTCCCTTAGCGGACAAGATCCAAGCCATCGTGGATTGGCCGGAACCCCGTTGCACGACGGACGTACGCTCTTTCATGGGTTTGGCTGGATACTATCAGCGCTTCATCGAGTCTTACTCCAAAGTGGCAGCCTTTTTGTCGAGACTTCCGTCCTCGAAGGTGCCCTTTGAGTTCGACGACGCAGCTCATGGCACGTTCAATACGTTGCAGCGATGCAAGACGCACCGGCCCTCCGTATTTATGACCCCACCCTACCCACCCAAGTGACTACGGACGCTTTCGGATATGGTATTGGTGCGGTATTAAAGCAATGCCACCCGAACAGTTGGCACCCGATTGGGTACTTCTCCCAAAAGGTGCCTCTCGTCAACACTCTCGACGACGCTAGGAAGAAAGAGTTACTCTCGTTCGTCGCCGTTCTCAAACGGTGGCGCCACTTTCTTCTCGGTCGTCGGCGTTTTAAATGGAACACAGATAACAATCCGTTGACCTGCTCCAAAACGCAGGACACGGTCTCTAGCACGATCGGTCGATGGATGTATTTCATTGACCAGTTCGACTTTGACCCGTGGCACATTCTTAGTCTCGCCAACCGAGCAGTGGACGCCTTCTCACGACGGCCCGATTTTTGTGCATTAGTGACTACGACGTTCCAGCTCGAGGACGATCTGCAGCAGCACTTCGTCAATGGCTACAAGTCCGACCTGACGTACTCCATGCTTTACGTGGAGCTTTCGTCGGATCACCCGCCAACTGGTCACTATCGTATCTCCAACGGGTTCTTATGCCTCCACAAGAGAGGAAAGCACTTGCGAGTGGTGCCCCAAAATCGCATCTTACGGACTCTCCTCCTTGGCGAATTCCACGACGCACGACTTTCGGCACACCTCGGCGTGACGCGCACATTGGCCCGCCTCCGCCAATATTTTCACCGGCCCGACGTTCTTCACGACGTCACAAGGTATATTGAATCATGCGTAGTTTGCCATTGTAACAAAGGTAGATCTCATGTCCCTTATGGCGAACTGAAACCGATGCCAACCCCTTGGGCATCGCGCCTCTCCATTGCTATGGATGTTACAGGCCCGTTTCCCTGCGATCGCCTTGGTCACGACGGCATCCTCACAGTCGTTGAGCGTTTGAGCAAGTATGCTCGTTTTCTTCCATGCAAGTACCATGCTACAGCCCCCGAGCTCGCACGACGTTTGCACACGGGCTGGATTACTTGCCACGGTGTTCCAAAAGACATTATGAGCGACAGGGACACTCGCTTCATGTCAGCCTTTTGGACTTCCCTCATGATAGAGTCCGGTTCGACTATGAAGCCGAGTTCCGCATGACACCCGCAGACGGATGGGCAGTCGAAACGAGCGCATTAGACCGCTCAAATGATGTTATGTACACTCGTCTGTCCCGACCAGAAAGATTGGGTTGACCGACTTCCCGACATTGAGTTCACCTATAACACTTCGGTGCACCCGGTGATTTGCATCACTCTATTCGAGTTGCATCACGGTGGAGAGAAAGCCCGAGTCTTTGCCGATCTTCTGCTACCACGGGCTCCCGCTTCCGTTCGGAAGTATCGGGACTGCTGATCAGAGCCCATGCGAACATGCGAAAGGCTCAAATCCGCATGCAGCAGCAAGCTAACCGACGTCGACTCCCATGTCCTTTCCGCGAGGGAGACCTTGTTTGGGTCCTCGTTGAGGAATTCGTGCTGGAGCAAGACGTCTCGCGCAAACTCCTCCCGAAATAGTTTGGACCATGGAAGGTAATTTCTGCAGCAGGCGACGACCCTGCTGGCCCTTCCTTTGTGATTGTCATCCCACCGCACCTCCGTGTGCACTCGGTTTTCCATGCGTCAAAGTTGGCCGTGTATACGCCACCTTCCGAGGATGAGTTCCCGACCGTCGATCACAGGATCCGCCCTCTATGGATGGACATCAGGAAGTTGACCGTGTCATCACGCATCGCAAGTATGGCAACAAGCCAATGCAATATCAAGTCACATTCAAACAATGTGCCCCTGACGACACGCGCTGGATCTCCCGTGCAGACTTACAGGCATCCGCACCACGCATCTTCTCCGACTATGAGAACCGGCGACTTGCCAAGGACAAAGTTCGTCCACCCGACCCACCCAGGTATCGGACAGACAACGTTGCCCTTGCAAGTAGCTCGGTCTTTTAAGGGGGGGAGTGTGCTACATACTGATGCCACACGGGTCCCTTTCGGACCCGACCACTAGACCAAGGGGTACTTAGGCCGGCCCAGCCAAAGGCCGAACCTTTTCCCGGTAGGCCGCATGAGGCCACCGGATGGTTTTCGTGCAGCAGACCAGGTATAGGCCCAAACGACATTACCGTTGGGCCTGGCGGTGCTCTTGAGGCTGCCGCCCGCCGGTCTGATCTGAATCGTCAATCTTGACGATTCAGATCACGGCACGCTGGGGTAGCATTGAGGCCGACCGGCCGCCGAACGGTATTTAGGCCGGTCCAGCGGGCTTTCCAGCAGCAGGTTGGAAGGCAGTACGGCAGGAGGCACCAAGCTGCGCCATTCCTGGTCCAGCGCAGCGGTTGGAGCTGCAGCGCTAAGTTTAGCGCACTGCAGCAAAGGGACGCGAGGAGGGAGACTTACCTAGAGTACCGTGAGCGCCATAGCTCCCAGCGGCT